AACAATTTGTACATGTGTGTAGAATCTCCCATGGTACTTGGCACAGACTAGGGAATAGGTAAATGCTGGCTGATGAACTGATTAACATTACAGAAAACTATTTTCAGCTAATCAGGTAGCAAAATGTTTCAGATAAGATAAAAAGTACTTTATATATAGTTGCTAAGTGTAAATTACAAAAAATTCAGACAAAAGATTTAAATGATAATGCATTCTAACTCTCAGAGGCTCCCAAACACCTGACGGTATCTGGTTTCAGAACCAGTAAGCAGTCTAGGGTAAGTAAATTCTAACCATATGGAGGGATCTCAAATTCAGGTTAGAATGATGTGACAAGTCTGCAAAATCCAAATGGATTTTGTTCAAGCTGGATAGAGCCTACCATAAGGGAGCTATAGTTGGCCCTTTCTCAAGTCTTCTCTTCTGATCTGTCTGCTTAGGAAACTTGACAAATATTTAAGAGTTCAGGCCAGGACTCACTCTGGAAACTATGAACAGAGCAGGTATCTGCTTGGGTTCAAGAATAAAGGAGGTGGCGAGTTCTGGTGGCCTAGTGGCAAGAAGCTGCACTGCAATCTCAGAGGTACACTGTTCAAATTCACCAGATGCTCTGCTGGAGAAGGAGGAACAATCTCCTCCTGTACCAGTCAGATCTGATTTGACGGTACACACAAAAAATAGTGAAAAGAAAAAAAAAGAATAAAGGAGGTATAAATATATGGAGAAAATCAGAGAGTTTCAGCTCTCTGAATAAAGGAAGAAATTGACCTGGCATGATAATCTTCAGTTTATTGTGATCATTAACAAAGACTCTTTCTTAGCAAGTATTACCTCATGGATTCAAACTTGTGTAAGTTTTTGTCTCCAAAACAATAATTTCGTTGAGTAGTAGCTCATTACACTTATTAATTGGAAAAAATTAATCCAGTGTTTCAAATTTAGTGTGAATTATCTGGAGGATGTGTTCAAACTCAGACTGGTTAACTCCACCCTTAGAACTTCCAATTTAATATGTAAAATGGGGTCCAAGCATTTGCACTTGTAACAAATTCCCAACTGATGATGATGCTACCCTAAGGACCAAACTCTGAGAACTGAATAAATGGAAATAATTAATTGAAGATAAAGAAACTTTCCTATTGGAGCTTATAATGATATACTATAACTAGCTTTACAATGAATTTCTGTATTTTTGGCAAAATTTTTGATACTACAGTTTGACAAGAGAGCTGGATAATGACTAAGGATGACAGAAGAAGAATGTCCATTTGAGTTGTGGTGCTGGAGAAGAGTCTTGAACATACCATGGACGGCCAAGAAAACAAGTATGTCTGTCTTACGGTGCAACCAAGTTTCTCCTTGGAGGTTAGGATTTTGAAGCTCCATTTCACATACTTTGGGCATATGGCCAGGAGGGAATGATCCTTGGAGAAGGGCATCTTGCACGGAAGGGTGGACAGACAGCACAGGAGAGGAAGACCCTACCTAGATGAGATGGACTGACACAGCAAGATGGACTGACACAGCAACTGGGGCAAAGGGGGGTGGGTGTTTCAAAATTAGTGAGACTGGCTCGGGACAGGGGAGGGTTCAGAGTTGTTGTACATAGGGTCACTTATGGGTCACAGAGGACTTGAGGGCACTAACAACAACACAACAAGTTTGACATGTATGGAGCCTTATCAGGAATAAATGTCCAATTTCTTACATTTTTTAAAATTTAAAATAATCGCTGGATCTCAGTTCCTATACTCCCAATTTCAGAGGGGTCTAGCAAGCCTATCATAAGCTCAGTTGAGTCCTTTCCTACTCTAACGTGTTGAATACAATTGAATTTGAAGCTCATATTATTCTATGGGTTATTTAGAAACTAGCTATTGCTGTTCTGCAGTTGACCAGATGATGTCACTGTCGAACAAAATAAATCATCTGAGAGCCTGCACTCTTCTACACAGCTGTAGTTTTAAATGTAGACTCAAGGTTTTCTACAATGAAACAATGAAATCTTAGTAATGTACCAGCAAAACCTTCAAGTCTTTTACCCTGCACACTATTGTTGAGAAAGATTTCAAATATTTGACTTACGATTTGTAAAATAGGCTGTAAGGGGGATTAGTAGCCAGAAGCTGAGTGATGACTGATATAATCACTATCACAAGGACTGGAAGTAACTGGATAAATGCAGAATATGTGGTCTGAAAAAGAAAAGCACTTGGTGTATTATTCTTCAATACAGAGCATAAGGAAAAATATCATAGTTTCCCCAAAGAAAATCTAAATTACCACACACTGCTTCGAAGGGTCTTCTGAAAAGGCTATACTTTTTGTTAGATGGACCAAACCACCCTTATTCTCTCTAATGAGAAGGCTGAAGGAGGCCCATATACCATTTCCTGGAAAGACTCTGAAATGCTTTTCAAAGACTCATGAGGCTGACATTTTTGGGGAGGGTGCCCAAACTGTGACACTGACAGAGTAGGCTTCTGGGAACACATCAATATTACACACTCTCTTTCCTTGATCACAGCTGATTAGCCCAGAGGAACAGTTAACTCAAGCATAAATAAGCACGGTCTCCCTCTAGTAATTTTGGATGGAGATGCATTAGTTTTCACTGCTAGTCAGTCACTTGAAAAAATAACATACTCTCAGACAATGTGGACTGGCCATTTTCAAGGTGAAATAGAACAAATCAAGATGCTTAGAGAAAACACAGATGTGCAGAAATGCAGGAAAACTGGAGGTGCAGTCTGGTCCCATGCAAAGAGTGGTGGAGAGCATAGTTGTCTGGGAGTTGTCAGTGCCCATCTGCCGTGAGGACCAGCTAAGCCTCCCGCCCCTTGATCATCATGGGATTCCCTTGATACATAAGCTTAAATTCTCTTTTAGTTCTGAAAATTTTGGAGGAGCCTATTTTATACAGTCAAAATCAAGAGTTCCACAGGACACTGAGATCCTAGAAGTCATCAAGGAATGAGGAGGAGAAGAAAGAGGAAAACATCACACAACTGTGGCCTACTTGGGTCTTTTGTCCAGTTCTTCTCATCATTGCCTCTACTTTCCCAGTATATATTTTAACAATAAATCTCGAGTTTAAATTCTAAAACCTGACTACAGATCATAAAGGTCAGCTTAGTACAACAGTACTCTCCCTCCTCCCTGGGTACCTGAGGTTTATCTTCTTCCTCTTCCTTCCGTGTCTGCATCCTCTCATGTTTGTGACGCCGGGGATAATAATGGGCATCGTCTGTCATGTTTGAGAACATATGAATATTTCCTAGTTAAAATACAGACAAACAGATACTTAGTACAGACTAAGGGTAACACTCGTTCCTTGCTTTTTTCAAGGTCTTTCAAGGTTCTTGTGAGGGTATTACTCCATTTTCCTTACTAGAAGAAAAGAGACAAGAGATAAGCCAGGTGAACTGGCTGGAAACAGAACAGAACTCTGTTGCTTTTATTTAAATAGATTTTTATGAGTGAGTGAAGAAATCCCAAGAGACTAGTGAAGGAAGAGCATTTGGGCCATGGATCCCATCTGACATGCTCATGTCTGCTTCCGTGCCCAATATCAAATTGTACCCTCCTTTTTATTTAAATGTTTTTATTGGTTTGCATCTAATAATTTGTTTACACTGGGTTTTATTCATGTATATTGTTTGTTGGTGCTTTTAAAAAAAATTGTGTCATCTTTAATAGCAACTCATAAAAGACAATTTATTTCCCAGGCATTTAGTTACCCCAACTTCTAACTCTGTGGGGATACTTCTTTATTTTAATTGTGATTTTAACGAAAGCTTACAGAAAAATTGAATTTTCATTTGTTTATTGTTGTACATTTTCCTCCCTACCCACCCCGAGTTCACTTTTTTAAAAAATATTAATTCTTGAAATGACACAGAGAAGATTAGCATGGCCCCTGCATAAGGATGATATGCAAATTTGTGAAGCATTCCATATTTAAAAAAAATTCATTCATTGTTCCATAATCTCCTCCTTCTTCTCCCCGAGTCCACTTTGCAGTTCTTGTTCTAGACTTCTTTCTTTGCACTTCTTGTTCTAGACTGTTGTCAAATAATGCTGATCATATGTTCCTTTAAAACAGTTTTTTCCTTCATCTGTTCCAATGCAGTGTTCATTATTTATCCCTTCTTTTCTTAGGTTTTCTCCAACCCCTTTTTCAGTCCTGTTTTGTAACAGTAGTGTTATGCAGTATTTGTCCTTTTGTGATTAAGATATGTCACTCAGCATAATGTCCTCCTGGGTCACTCAAACAAATATATGCACCCCCATTGTTGCATTATTCACAATAGAAAATAGATGGAGGCAACCCAAGTGCCCATAAACAAAATAATAGATAGAAACTCTGATATAGTCACACAATGGAATACTGTGCAGCACTGAAAACAGGGAACACTTAAAATATTATACAACCCTTTTCTAACATATCTTATATAACTGCTATTTTAAAACAATAAGACTAGACATTTTGCTACTTATTTATAAAACATTTAAAACTATCTAAGGAGTCTTGGAAATTAGTTGATTCTGAGGAAAAAGAATGGCAGTTTCCTCTTGGAAAGATTTAAAGTCATAGAAATCAAAAGAGAGGTGCTATGAGTCAGAATCAACTCCATAGTCATGGGTTTGGTCTTTAGTCTTAAAAATATCTAAATCTTGATCTAAACTGTGAAGTAGGTATTTTATCAGCCCCACATTGCAGATGAAGAAATTGAGGTTTAGAGAGACTAAGCAATTTAGTGAAAATCATGCACAATTAGAAAATGACTTCAAGTTTCCGATTCTCTAATTCCAAACCCTCGTTCTTTCTATCATACCATCAACTCTTCCTTCAGATCCTCAGGCAGGAGCTTACTGAAAGACACAAGTACGTACGTAGACATGAATGCATGCATATACGCTTTGTTTTAACAATAATTTGTGATAATAACCTGTAGGAAAATGTCCTCCAAAGAAGACGTTGAATAGTTCTTCTGGAGAGATGTCAGCTTCAAAATCCCTGTAATAATGATATGGTCTGGCATGGGGGGCAGTGAACGTCACTTGCTCATCTCCATATTCATCATAGGAGAGTCTCTTGTCGGGATTGCTCAGGACTGCAAAGGCATTTCCTATTGCTGCAACCAACAAAAACAGCACATGAACACACAATCTTCTTGTAGTCACCGGTGAGCACTGTAATGGTCATGAAGAGCCTAGAGTTAACTGATACCAAACAACTTCACAAGAGCCCAAGCGGACGCTTGGGCCTGGAGAGTTCATGAAAGTCTCTGCTTGCCTTTGAAATTTTCCCTAATTTAGTCTGATAAGCCAAAACCAATACTGGAATCAATCAAATAAAGAACTACTGCTTAAGTGAGAGTAATCAACAGTCCTTTAAGTTGTCCTTGAAGTCAGGCCCCCCCCCCACATTCTAGGCTGCCCATCACTGCAAACACCAGACACGTTGGGGAAATGGTGACAACTGACCTGAACTCTTCATCAAAAATGAATTTTTTAGGGCACCTTTAATAATGCCACTTTTTGGACTTTAAGGCACATATTTATGACTAACTTGGTGTAGTCATAGTCACAGTGCTTACTACTAATGACTGTGAGAAGATGCCTCTGGGGAACGAGGTGCCCTGCATCTTCTTGATACATATGCTACCATTGTCTCACCTATTGGGCTTGTTCTTAGGAGAGGATATTCCTTGGAGAGAGACATCATGTTTGGAAAGGTGGAGAGTTGGCTAAAGAGAGGAACACTCTCAACAAGATGGATTGACACAGTGACTGCAGCAATGGGCTGAAGTGTGTCAGAGATGACGAAGATGGCACTAGACAGGGCAAGGGCCAGATCAATTCATGGGGTTGCTATAACATCGGACTTGACTGGATAGCACCTAATAACAAGGATAACAACCACCACCTTACTATGTGTATTTATACTTTCATTTCATCCACTACTTCTCCTGAAAAAGGCATAATTCTTTTTTGTCATTTTTCTCCTGAAGTTGTAAGTGACTCCATCCAAAAGCTGGTTTAAGAAATAATCACTAAAACTATTTCCTATACTGTCTTAGGTAACAGAAGGATGTAAAGGGAAAACATACATTTAAATAGAGATCCTTAGTGAGTAGAAATACGTGGCATTTAATTTCGAGTTATTCAATGCTGCTGAGTCCAAATTGATTCGCAGCTCACCTTCCATTGGGTTTCTGAGGCTACATGTCATATGGGAGACAACTACCCATTTTTTTCCATGGAGCTACTGCTGAATTTGACCTGTCAGAGCTCTGAGTCAGTAATAAACTGACAGCCATTGGGTTAGCAGTGAGGCTCCCTACAGACCAAGGCTTTGAGGTTATGTGAATTATCTGTTCACTAACAATCTATGACCCAATGGCTATAGCATCCACTGGTGACCCTTGCCATAATCAAGGATTACCACATTATGGTAACATATAATCAAGGATTACCACATTATGGTAACATACTACCAGAACTCCTTTAGCTTAGAGGAGGGGATATTTTTTTAAAGCAAAAATACCATCATCCTTGCTGTGAAATTTCAGACCACAAAAGATCAAACATCTAAGTTTATTATAAATAGGAATTTGCAGCCTTCAGTATGGACTAAGGCTCAACGTCAAGAAGACAAAGATTCTCGCCACTGGACCAATTGGCAGCGTCAGGATGGATGACGAAGAGATTGAGAGTGTTCACAGCTTCAGTTTGCTCAGCTCCACAGTCAACACTCTTGGTACCAGCAGTCAGGAAATCAAAAAGCGTATCGCGATGGGAAAGACTGCCATTAGGGACCTCTCAAAGGTACTCAGGAGCAACAGTGTCTCTCTGGAGACTAAGGTGCGCCTGATACAGGCCATGGTCTTTGCAATCGCTTGTTATGCATCAGAGAGTTGGACAATGACTAGGGAGGACAGAAGGAGAGTGGATGCTTTTGAGCTGTGGTGCTGGAGAAGGGTACTGAATGTACCATGGACTGCCAGGAAAACAAACAGATTCATCTTGGAGAGGATTAAACCAAGCTGCTCCTTGGAGGCAAGGATTCTGGGGCTTCGTCTGACATACTTTGGACATGTTGCCAGAAGGGACGGGTCCTTGGAGAGGGACATCATGCTTAGGAGGGTGGAGGGACAGCGTAGGAGGGGAAGACCCTCTATGAGATGGATTGATTCGGTGACTGGGGTAATCGGGATAGGTGTGTCAGAGGCGGTGCGGTTGGCGCAGGATAGAGCAGGGTTTAGAGCTGCTGTGCATAGGGTCGCTATGAGTAGGAAACGACTTGATGGCACATAACAACAACAACAATTATAATTTCTTCCAAATTTAAAAGTTCTTGTAGCTCTGACAAAAACTATCTAGAATTTGTCTAGCCAAAGGCAAAAATGAAACTTCACATAAAAACATTTCACTTGGGTTAACACTGACAGACATGTGGCAACAGGTCAAGTAAACATAAACCAAAAGTTGGGGGGGGGGGAGTGTTTAGAAAAGCTTGCATAGGCTATCAATAAAAAGATCAAGAATGGACATCAGGATAAAGTTGTATTTCCCAACAATATACATATATTTTTTCCTCTCCATTCCCTCCTACCCCTATTCTTAAGACTAATAATATAGTAAGATTTAGAAATTCACACATAGATAGTGTATCCTAACTTACAGTAAGATGCAACTTCCTGAATAAAAAAAACCTAGTAAAAATTTAGTAGAAAAAAATGTATAAGATCCTCCTGCTTGATTAAAAGTAAAATCCTTACTGTAATCTTATTTCATCTTACTTTAGAAAATCTCTCAATGAGGGATAAAAAAATTAAAGAGATTATATCACCTCTCCTCCCTAAACACACATGTGTAAACGTTGTTCAAATTAATTTAATCACATAATCAATAGAAATTTTGGGAAAAATCACTTAAAGCAGTCTCATCCTGTACCTTGAATTTAGTTAACACAATCACAAAGAGCTTCCTCGCCTCCTCAAAGATAGTAATGATTCTTCTAGCTACGGAAATGATATGAAATGTTTACAGGAAGGTAAAAACTAAGCAGAAAACTCTAAACAGTTACTCAAACATTTAAATTCCTTGAAATCTGGCAGGTTTCCCAGGAAAATGTTATTAGTCTGTGAGATACCTTACATGAGGATGTAGATGGAATGTAGGCAGTTTCCTTAAAGGAACTGTGAGGAGAGTAAGATTCTCCATGATATAGCCACAAAAGTAGAGTGTCTCTTAAGACAAACATTAACTTTTAAGTGTTATCTTTTTCAAGTGTATTGTTCTTATCTTTTTCTTTTGAAAAAATATCACTCACCAAAGTTGAAAAAAAAAACCACCAAAACAACGATCACCTGTATACTCACTTCTATTTTGCCACTTGTTAGTAGAGTTGTCATACTACTTCCCTAACATAAATGTATACATAAACTGACATATAATTATGTATAAATTTGTTTTGCCGAACCATTTAAAAATAAGCTGCATAGATAATGACACGTGATACTAAATACTTCAGATTACACCTCCTGAAAGAATTCTCCTTACATGACCACACTATCACTATCATCTAAGAAAATTAATGTCTGTGGGTCCAGTCAAAGTTCATGTACTATATTTGTCTCTTTAGTTTTTAAATAATCTAGTGTCCTATACTTTTGGTTTTCATTGCACTGCTTTTAAAGAGTAGGCCAATGTTCTTGTAGAGTGTCTCACATTCTGATTGCTCCCTCATTTTAGATTCAGCTCCAACATTTTAGGAAGAATAGTACATAGAAGGTGTTATGTCAAAAGAGGATCCCATTATGGGATCACTTGGCCAAAGCAGTGACAACCAGGTGTCTTAATGCAATTTAATCTTCTCCCTTTGCAATCAAGTCACTAAGTGGAGTATAATCAATAATTCTGTGGACTGAGATTTTTAGATCATGTGACTATTTTATTCATTAACTACCCATCACCCAACGGGTTATGGCATGCACCGGTGAGCCTTACCAGAATCCATGACTTTACTGACGGTGAAGGTCTTAGGTGAATTTTGTACTATATGTCAGGTCCAAACTATTTTTGAGATTATATTTATTAAATTAAAAAAAATCAGTAGAAAATGATTTGACAGAAACTATTTTTACTTTAGTTTTTCATGTTGTTGCTATTGTTATATGACGTCAAGGTGACTGTCGCTCATAGCGACCCTAGGAACAATAGCTCTGACCTTGGCCCATCCCGAACCATCCTCATCATGTCTGACATACCTGCCCTCACTGCCATAGTCACTGTGCCAACAATCCATCTCAGCCAGGGTCTTCCTCCTCTTTGCTGACCCTCTACCATTCCAAGCTTGCGGAATATGTTAATAAGTCAGGTTTCTGGAGCAAAGAGTTTCATGGCCAAAAAAGTTTAGGAATGATGCTTAGCCTTTGCTTACAAACAGCCATCAATCTGAGTTCTACACGAGGAACTATGTCTATTCTATTCACTCTAGCACCTGGGACATAGGTCTTCAATAAACATTTGTTGAATTAATGAATAGTTATTGAGTTTGAACCGACTCACAGCCATTGGGTTTCCAAGACTGTAAATTGCATGGGAGGAGATTGTTCATCTTTCCCCATGGAGCCATTGATGGATTCGAACCCCCCAAGAGGCATGCCCTTTAGGTCGGCAGTGCAACTCCCTATGGACTATACTACTAGAGCTCCCTCAAAAAGTACCTGCTGAGTGAATGCATGAATGGCTACAGGAGGTATTAAAGAAAACCCAAATATTTTTCCAGAAGTAATTTAAACAAAGGCAAGTGAATGAAGGCAGGAGGAATCTATACATATATTTCATTGTTATTTTAAGAGGTGTAGTGGGAAAAATTTGCTTATGATCTTATAATGAAAATGCAAGTGAGACTGAAAACAAGTCATTAGAATCAACCATCACAAAGCCCACAGAAAGGCAGAACTACGCAACAATTCAGGATCAAACCTTTGAAAGCGTCTGTTGCACCAGGAGCACAGTTCTTGTCAGGATGAAATTTCAGGGCAAGTTTTCGATAAGCTTTCTTAAGCTCTTCGTCACTGGCATTTCTTGGAACTCCCAGAATTTCATAGTAATTTCTGCATTTCTTGATCCTAAAACCATATCAGAAACATGTATGTCTACAAACACTCCTTTTTACAAATAACTGCAAAACAATACAATGATCTTCCCTTTAAATTTTGAGCCCCAAAACAAAGCTAAAAAAAAAAACCCACCAAAAAAAACCACTGGTAAACTATAAATGAAACATTCAAATCCATTAACAATGTCCTCTCTCCATCAAGAGCTAAAAGGTGCTTTCCATTTTATTCATTCTATTTCCCTGCAAGTCAGTAGAACAAGGGTGCTATCCTTACATCAGTGTGCTGGCTAAGGTACTGAGAGATAAATCACAGGACAGGAAAAGCAGAAAGCAAAACCCTCCCAACTATAAGATATCCTCTCACTCCAGTCAGAATTGCAAAATTTAACAGAACAGCAAGCAACAAACGCTGGCAAGGTTGTGGAGAAACTGGAACCCTGATTCACTGTTGGTGGAAGTGTAAAACGGTGCAACCACTGTGGAAGGCGGTATCGCGCTTTCTCAAAAAGTTGCAAATAGAGATACCATTTGACCCAACAATTCCACTACTGGGAATATACCCCAAAGAGACCATAACTGCCACACAAGCAGATAAATGCATACCTATGTTTATTGTGGCTTTGTTAACAACAGCAAGGAGTTGGAAACAACCTAAGTGCCCATCAACAAATGAATGGATGAGAAGCTGTGGTATATTCACACAATGGAATACTACGCTGCATTGAAAAATAAGGAACTCATGCAATATTATGCAAAATGGGTGACTCTGGAGGACATTATGCTGAGTGAAATATCTCAGTCACAAAAAAGACAAATACTGCATGGTGCCACTGTTGTAAAGCAGGAATGACCTTGGGGTTGGGAGGAGACTGAGAAGGATGGGTTCAATAATATATACAGCATTGAAACAGATAAGGGAGAAAACTGTTTAATTGTAGAAATTATTAGGGATTTCTGTCATGACAGGAGTCCAGAGCAAAGGCTGTATAGTGGAGTGGACCTGGGAGAGGGATTGTAAAACAATGAAAGAATGTTTCTTTTATTTTCCAAGAGGGCAGTGTACTGAGGGGGAGGGTTGAGAGGGGAGAAAAGTGCAACAATGAATGAATGGAAAGCCAAAGTCTCAGTAAATTTTCATTGAAATGAATAATAAATTAAAAAAAAAGTAAAAAATAAAAGAAAAGAAAGCCCTCCCTCCCCACTCTATTTCTTTTTCTCTCCTTTCCATTCTGGCTGTCCTTTTAAGCTTTGTTTTGAAGGGTTAATTCACAAATAGAAGAAAAAGATCCAATAGTAGTAAATTGTAGAGAGTGCAAAAATATGAATTTCTCATTTCTGGACTGTTGTTTTCCACCTTAAGTACAATTGCTGTTAGATGTTTCTTGTGGATGCAATGTACAGAAACATATATGTATAAAAACATCTTATCTAAACTGAAGCGTATCATACACATTTTTTTTTAATTTCCCGGTCGCCCCGGAATACACATCTTTTTATATTTTGATTTTTTTTAGTCAACAATGTAATTTGGAGCATGAATAAAGATTTCAATTAGAGAAGCAGTTCTTACCACTACATTTTTTTTCAGACATTTTATTGAGCTTAAGAGAAAGTTTATACAGCAAGTTAGTTTTCCCAATCAAACAGTCAAAAATTCTGAGCAACACTGGTTACAATTTCTGCAATGTGTCAACACTTCACATTTCCCCCTGAGTTTCTAGCTTTGCCCAGTTTCTCTGTCTCTTGTATTCTTATATTTGGTCTTGGGCACATATTTTCCTTTTGTTCCTAAATTCTTTTATTTCAGAAAGTTCTTTACATGTAAAAAGTATTGAACAACTCTCATCTCTCAATATGTACCACATTAGATAGTGTTGATCTAAAAAAAAGCAAATAGACCAATTAAAAATAAACTTGAGAACCCAGAAATAAACCTCTACATCTATGGTCAGTTGGTTTTCAACAAGGGTGCCACGCTCATTCAATAAGAAAAACCTTTGCAAAAATGTTGCTGGGACAACTGAATAACCCTATATAAAAAGATGAAGTTGGATTAAATGTCTCACACCACATACAAAAGTTAATTCAAAAGGTATCAAGAGAAAAAAAAATGCATCAATAGCTCAAACTAAAAAACTTTTTGTTTAAGAAAATATAGGGGCAAAACAACTATGATATATCATCTCACCCCAGTAAGAATAGCAAAATTTAACACAACAGCAAACATCGAATGCTGGCAAGGTTGTGGAGAAACTAGAACCTTTATTCATTGTTGGTGGGAATGTAAAATGGTACAACCACTATGGAAGGCTATATGGGGCTTTCTCAAAAAGTTGGAAATAGAAATGCTATTTGATCCAGCAATTCCACTACTGGGAATTTACCCTAAAGAAACCATAACTGCCACACAAGCAGATATATACGCACATTCATGTTTATTGCGGCTTTGTTCGCAATAGCAGAGTTGGAAACAACTTAAGTGTCCATCAATAAATGAATGGAGAGAGAAGCTCTGGTATATTCACACAATGGAATACTACGCAGCATTGAAAGCCAAGGAACTCATGAAATACTATGCAAAATGGGTGACCCTGAAGGACATTATGCTGAGTGAAATATCTCAGTCACAAAAGGACAAATATTGCTTAGGGCCACTGTTGTAAAACGGGACTGACATCAGGGCTGAGGAAAGACAGAAAAGGAGGAAAGGAATGATGTATATTGCATTGAAACAGATGAGGGAGAGAACTGTTTAAAAGGGACATATGAATGGGTATTCTTGTCATTACAGAAGTCCAGAGTGAGGGCTGCACAGAGAGGAGTGGACTTGGGGGGAGGCACTGCATAACAATGAAAATTTTTCTTATTTATTTCAAGGAGAAGAGTCAATTGAGGGGTGGGGGTGGGCAGGGAGAAAAGTGCAACAATGAATGACTGGAAACCCTAAGTCTCTGTAAACTTGCATTAAAATTAATTTTTGAAAAAGAAAATATAGGGGCAATGTTTTGCAACCTAGTTTTTGAAAATGAATGCTTAGATATGACACTGGAAAAATGAACAACAAAAGAGAACACAGATAAAATGGACTTCAATAAAATTAATTTCTACACATCAAAAACTTTACTAAGAGTGTTAAAAGACAACCTAAAGAATGGCAGAAAATATTTGTTTACTACATAGCTAATACAAGATAAGGGAACTCTGGTGGCCTACTGGCAAGAAACTGTGCAGCAATCCCTATGGCATGTGGTTCAAATCCACCAGCTACTCTGTGGGGGAAGGATGGGCAATCTCCTCCCATGCTATTAAGTGGCTCTGAAAACTCACTGGAGGGTCAGCTATGTGTCAGTTCTGACTCAATGGTACTCAACAACAACATATATCTAATATATATTTAATATTCAAAATATATAAAGATGATAAATAGCCAAAATACAGGAAACAACACAAATTTACATCAATTCACAAATGGATAAACAGAATGAGATCTACATGAGCAAAGGAATATTGATGAGAGTTCTGGTTTGTCCATATCCTCTCCAATATTTATTATTTTCCATTTTACTTATAAGACTCATCTAAGTGGTAATGAAGTGGTGTCTCATTGTGGTTTTGATTGCATTGAACAGATCTACTACCAAGAAACTCTCCAAAGTGTTAAGGAGCAAGGATATTAGTTTAAAGATTAAGGTACACCTGATCCAAGCCATGGAATTTCTAATTACTTCACATGCACCTGGAAGTTGGACAATGAATAAAGAAGAACAAAAAAGAATCTATGCCTTGAATTTGTAGTGATGGTAAAGAGTACTGAACATCTCCTGGACTGCCCAAAAAATCATACAAATCTGTCCTGGAGGAATTACAACCAGGGTGCTTGTTAAAAGGAAGGATGGTGAAACTTTGTCTCCTATATTCAGCATGTTGTCAGGAGGTACCAGCCCTTGGAGAAGACATCATGCTGGGAAAGGCAGAAGGTCAGCGAAAGATAGGATGACTCTCAAGTAGATAGTATGACATGGTGACTGTAACAATGGATTTGAGTATGGCAGAGATCATGAGGATAGTGCAGATAAGGCAAGTCCCTATCTGTTGTTTATAGAGTTGTGAGTCATAATAAACTCTGTGGCACCAAACAACAACAGAGTGACAATGACCTTGAACATCTTTTCACGCATTTGTTGACTACTTGCCTATCTTCTTTGAAAGACTGTCTATTTGAGTCCTGTGTCAAGGACTTAAAATTGAGTGGTATATTGTAAAAATGGTGCACTAAAGTTGCAGATTTCCTCTAACTTCACAAAGGGAAGAAGATGAAGAATAACAGTCCAAGGCTGATTCTATGAGGTGGAGGTCAGATATACCTCCTATCTCCAATATGACACTATACTTCTCTGTTAGGTTGAATAATTTGTTTCAATGACCACCTAGAATTAACTTATTATACTCACAGGTTATGGGATTTATCAAGGAAGCAACAGGCTACAATTTCATTTATAAATTTATCAGCTGATGGGTTTTTGAGTTATTCCCACATTTCAGCTATTACAATAATGATACTATGAACATTCTCAGGAGCTCTGATGGCTTAGTGGCAAGAAGATGTGCTGCAATCCCAAAGGCACACAGTTAGAGTTCACCAGCTGCTCCAAGGCAGAAAGATGAGCAATCTCCTCCAGTGTGATTAACTGCCTCTGAAAACTCGCTGGAGGTTCAGCTATGCATTGGTTCCAACTCGATGGTACACGATAACAACATGAACATTCTACTACTCATCTACCAGTTTGTCAAACTGTGGTGGCTTATGTGTTGTTGTGATGCTGGAAGCTATACCATTGGTATTTCAAACACAGTAGGGTCATGCATAGTGGACAGGTTTCAGTGGAGTTCTAGACTGAGAGACTAGGAAGCAGGCCTGGCTATTCATCTCTGAAATAATGAACCCTTGCAAACTCTATGACTAGTAGCAGAACATTGTGATGCAGTGCCAGAAGATGAGGCCTTCAGGTT